GACTATAGAGACCGTATCGTGTGATATAGCCAGGTATATTGAGAAAGTGAAGTTATCGGCGATAAACTTTTATTTAAGATAAACGGTAGTAATGCGTATAGTATTTACCTTCTACTTAATAGCTAATTACGAAATAGATAGCAATTATGGCATTACGCCTAGTGCAGTTATTTCGCATTGGAAATCGGTGAATTCGAAATTTGTCCAACGCCATACTATTATTATGACGAATCGTTAAAAATGAAAAATCTATAATTGCCAGCCAATCATCATTATTGCAATTACTGTACACTCTGAAAGTAGGTAGTAGGTAGCCGTTTGGTTTATATATTAATAGCACAATAATTTTAATGTGTCTAACCCTATAGGTAAATAATTGTAGACAATAAACATAATATACTTTTATGTATTTTCAACAGCTGGGAAAACAATCGTCTTATACATGACTTATTTCTAAAAACCATTAAACTCATATTTAAACTAATTAAAATGCATTAAATTCAATACCTAAATACAATAATACAAACAATTTTTAAAATAAAGTACAATTACCATTTGTATTCGAATAGTATCTAATAATTTGTCAAAACCTTACTGTTTTATATTTCAATTCCGTAGTATAATCAATTTACAACAGTTTATGTATAAAAGTGGCTTATAAGTTATAATACTCTAATCACAACAAAAACCTTTCTTAAAATACGTGTAAAATTGGCTAAGTAAAAAAAATATAAGATCTTTAAGCACTATAAAGATGTGATATCATGAATAAATACTAAGTACTGGTATATTGAATTTAAGTAAACTTATTTTGTTTCAATAATTTATTTACTTGGCAAGGAATTATTTCTCAAAAGAAACAAAGTGTGATGAACAAAATAATTAAATGGCAAAGGACTTTTAAAATATAACTTATTATTATTTTAAAAATATTATTATTAATATTTGTATACCATTCTAAATAATTCCTTACCAAGTAAATAAATGATTGAAACAAAATAAGTTTACTTAAATTCAATATACTTAGCATTTATTCATGATATCACATCTTTATAGTTTATAGTGCTTAAAGATCTTATATTTTTTTTTTACTTAGCCATTTTTACACGTAGTTTACGAAAAGGTTTTTGTTGTGATATCACTAATTTCTATCGTAAATATTGAGTATTTACACAATAATCTATAAGAACGATAATATTGTAGGTAACATTGGCAACGCTGACGACATTGCGACGACGACTGAATTTAATATAAATTTCTATTAAAAAGTTTTTACTTTTTCATTTATAACTTAATTTTTAAACGTACGATTTTGATGATTTTTACAAAAGTACGTTCTACACAATATTTCTGATGTGTTGGAGTTTACTAAGGATTAATTGATGCATTAGAAAATTAGTTATGTCGTATAATAAATTTACCTGTATTTTACACAGTTTAAATAGGCAACTGCTGCTTCGATATACTATACACACACCGTATATAACACCTGTATATATTTTTTTTACTTAGCTCGCCCCACTCCAGTTAGCCCGGGATACAGTAATTATTATTATAGTAATATATTAGGTATATTATTTTACAATTATAAATTATTTCGTGGAAATAATATTATCATGTAAATTCATGTTTGTTATGGATAAATCAAGGAACTTTATTCATTTGAAGTATTTGCATGATTTATTCATTGTAGTTACATTTTTAACATTAAAATATTATATATTGTATATTAGCAGGGCTGCGATCTGCAAAATCATTGAAAACTTAACGGCACTTGTAGAAAAATAGAAAATCTCATATTAATGTATAGTAACAATAATACTCATAATATCATATATTATAATATTATATACCTTCAGATTTCTGCGGTGATGCATTATTATGCAGTTTTACCGCGGAACGGATTAACGTAGTGTAAAGTTATGTTCAAAATATAATATTAATTAAATTTGCATTTCCCGTGCAGCAAGAAAGCGTAAACCGAGTGAAAAAAAAAAAAAAAATAATAATATTAATAATATTTACATTATAACAAAACGCGTGTGCGGGCGGCCGCATTCGCAGATTATAATATTGCTCGACCGAGAGAAAGTGAATTGAACGCGCGCCTGCATACATACACGTCTATATAGCATGTAACATCACCCATTATGTGGCAATCGTTATATTATGCCTGTGTAAACATCTAGATCCGGGATACGTAAGCACTTAACACACGATTATATTTTATACATTGTATACGGTGTGGGTATATCATATTATAATATACAGGAGCCAGGAGGTATCACCGAGGTGCCCCCAACCCCTCATTTTTCTCCGATATTGGTTGATATTCTGATTTTTCGAACTTTTAAGTATACTGGAGGATGATGTTTTAAAATAGTTGCACGTGTTATGCGTAGTGTTCCTTGGCAATACAAACTTATGGTTTTCGAATGCGAATTGCTATTTTTTTACTGTAAATTATTAAGGAGATTTTTTTTTGAATTACTCAATTCAACTATATTTGAACTCTGTGATGTATGAATCGGATTATTTGATGAAATATGACCCGAAGAAAAAATGCAAATGCTAAAAATTTCTAACCCTATTTATAAACTAAATTCAAATATTGTATGTTGTGTAAAAATTGTCCTAGTACCTATATAAAAAGTACTACTCTAAATATTACATATATCTTATAACCTTAATATGTAAAACCATTACAATGGACAATATCAAAGATTTATAACTCAGAAACTATTGATTTTATTTTCGATTTAGATATAGACATTTCGAAAAATGTTATTGTTTCACTACAATATACATAGCTAGAAAAGCAGTGGCGTGGCGTGGGTATTAAAAAGATGTAAGCAGTGACATTTTTTTTTCAAAAGTGATTAGAATATAGGTACTATACCTAAATACCTAATTTTAAATTATGTATACAAAATATTATCATTTTAAAGTTTTTAATATTTTTAAAAATATACTAGTTGTACAAATCAAATTCGAGAAAATAAAGAAATTGAAGTATAAATACTTCAAAAGTCAATTAGGCAAATGACAGTGACAGTGTACGTAAAAACGACTTCAGTCTACAACGCGTCGGGCTACGTACTGGTCGCTCCTTGTTTCTCGCGTAAGCAAAATCAAATGTGCTTACAAACGCTAGTTAAATACGTGACCCCCACTATGGCATTATAGACTATTCGAAAACAACAGTTGCGCGTAAGCAATTTCAGAATGTGTTACACTGTATATCGTATTATGATTATGCAGTTAACATAATACAGAATGGATTAAAAATAGACCTAAAATCGATGATTTTCTTAAAATAGTTGGTAATCAGTAGACAGCGTACGACACAAATAAACAATAACAAAAACCACTACCAGCTATAACTTAAATATTTTATAAATAAAATTTAAATTTAAAAAATCATTTATTATGTACCTATTAGTCGTGATTGATCAAATTTATTTTTTCTTTAATTTAAAGTGTAAGCAGTGCTTACAGTGCTTACATGCACGCTACGCCCCTGTAGAAAAGCTAAGTGTTTTAAAATATAAGTTTTAATAATGAACCTATACGAAAATTCCAAAAATAAAAATTCGAATTAACGCAAAATTGAATTATAGGGGAAGGGGTGAGCAGCATGGTTTGTGAATCACGCTGTATATATGAAAAACATATAATATAATATACATTTAGAGAGATCCTGCCGGCCCCCCCTGTGGCTTGCAGTCAGCGGACGACAATGACGCTTTTTAGTCGCGGTGACGTCGCGTGCTGCAGTATGTGAAAGTACGTGTCGTTCGTAGGTGCCGAGAAGTGTATGGCGGGAAAATGTCCTAAGATAAAGAGTAAACACTCCAAATCGGTGAAAGCGCTCCTAGACGCCCACTATGCATACAAAATACAAAGTACGCAAGTCCGATTAATAAGTGCATATATATTTGTATTTATACATGTATATTTTGATTGTGCAATTTCAAGTCGGACGTGAGAGTAATCTGAAATCGACGGCCTCGCACTATTATATTAACTACTATAAAACGACTGCAGTGGATTACATACCCATATTATAATAATAAATGACACACGGGTGAACGAGCTAGTGGATGACACAATATCCTTACTTATTGCCGGTTTCTCGTCTTATATTAAATTTTGTAACACTCGTTTCGAGGGATTCAATGCGGATTATCGTTTACACATCTCTTTATAAGATGCACTAATTATAGCCACGATGTAAAACATTATATTATATTGAAAGCGGTAAAACATGGATAGTCAGTGCACTAAAGATTTACAGATTACACCGACTCATACTTTTATTTTTTTTGATCAATAAATAAATACACAATTTAATCAACGATACATAACACTGTCGATTTATCTAAATCCTCTAAGCGCAACTTGTGATAAAGATATAGAGTACAGGTAGGTAACAGAATTCACCGTTTTAATGAATTCAGAATATAAGTATTTCGATACTGTTCGAATTATAACACCATATTACATTTATAAAGGTATAATACTTTCCTATTGTTAAGCTCCCCAAACGTTAATTTAGCAAGTGTACCTGTACCATACGCGTTATTGCAGTCCTTATCCAGTCTGAGTACCTTTAACGCGTAAAAGAACGATTAATGGTACGTTTTTTTGTTGTAGCCAATAGGTATATAAGTTTAAACGATCGCAAAATATTATTATTAACGTATTGATAAACGTATTTACGTATTGTATAATATATTATGTGTGATATCGAATAAACGCATAATTGTTTGAGGAAAAAAGCATAATATGACGTGAAATGTAACATAATTTCGAAGACATCTCACAGCATATCAATATATAATATTATAATTTATAATATAAATACGAGATAGCCACGTACGACGATCAGTGAAATCAAAATGATAGGTTCCCCGTCCTCACTACTACCAACAAGATTATTACTATATCCTTGTCGATGACGTCATATTTATGTACTTATCGTACGGTTTGTGTTTCAGGTGTGGCGTGCGGTGAAAACGACAGCGGACGTTCGGATGGAGTAGTGCGAGTTGTGCGCAGGCGGCACCTAGACGAGGCGACCAAGACGGGTCAAGAATCGAACGAGATCGACGACAATCACCATCCGCGGGCCGACATGTCACTGACCCGGGCCGAAGAATTCAAGTCGACCGCGGCGTCGTGCGGCGGCGGCGGCCCGTGCGGTGAAATGTCGCAAACGGAATCGGCTGCGGCGGCGCTTGACGACGACTCTCGACTGATCGCGTCATCTGCCGTCCCGTCGTCTGCCGTCCCGCCGTCCGTGGCGGACGAACAGACGTCCCAGTCGCAATACTATTACGAATACGTGGGACCGACAAAGATCGGTTCGGGGGAAGCCAAGAGGGCTTCGTCGCGTGGCAGATCACTCGTACCGACGGAGCCCGATACTGCAGCGCCACAGACGCCGCAGACACGACAGCAGCAGCAGCAGATGGATGTGGCGGCGGCGGTGGCTGACCGTCAGCAAATCCGTAAAGCCGGCAACAGCGACATGGAAGACATACTGGACGGGTTCGTCAAGCTGCTGAACGGTCAGCCCGGCCAAGCCGGTTACCGGCAGCCGATCAAGACGCGCATCAACAACCGCGGACCTCCCCGCATATCGGACGCTTCGGTTGTCCTGGAACCGCCGGCATTCGTGCCAATGCCGCAACACCAACACCAGCATCAGCAACAGCAACAGCACCAACAACAGCAACAACACCAGCAACAGCTACCATCCCAGAATAAGCCGAAGGACCCGCCGCCGTATCCGTTCGACGTGCCGCAGCCCGTCCGGCCACTGCCACCCCAACCACCCAACCTTATCAAGCCGTTCTTGACCGGCGTGCCACTGCCCGAACAGCTGGTGCCCACTAATGGTGGTGACGTGGACGAAGATGAGTTGGGTCCACCGTCTCTGCAGTACGAAGACGACGTGTCGCATCCGCCATCGTCGTCCGGACGACCGGTGCAGCACCTGCAGACTGCCAGGCCACAACAGGAGTACGACTTGTTTGCTCACGGCGCCGGCCACGCGGTCCCAGCCGCTCCCAGACCGGTCGAAAATGTGACGGAAAAGTTCACGATAGACTTGCCTTCGTCTCAGTCACCGCCGCCCTCAGACAGACCGGCCGCGGTCACTGTCTCCGAGAAACCGACCACGACAGACAAACCATGGTCAGCGATCGATATCAACGCGACCCGTGTGATCGGAATCCAAGTGTCGAAACTCGTCGACCACTTGACCTCACCGGCGGTACCCTCCTCGCCTATCGGAGTAAGCGATCCCACCGCAGCCGCCTCCTCGGCGGCACCCACGATGACGACGACGACGACGACGGCAACAACTAGCACCTCTAGCACCGCTAGCACTAGCGCCAGCACCGCTGCGGAATCAACGTCCCCAACGACAGCCACGCGACCGGAAACAACGTCAACCGGTGAACACGTGACCGGCGTCGGTTCGGCTGTCGTGGTGCTTGAGCCGTCCACTTCGGAGGAACCGCATCGTGACGATGCGCACAAGCCTACCGACAACAAACTTCCCAGCAAGCCCACGGCACCCGTAAAGAAGACCCCACAACAGTCCGGTAACTATCACACTGCAGCTTTTTATAAGTTAACACAAGGAGTGGGTTTAAGTTATGTGGCGAGGGCAGTCACTTTCCCGCCCTTGGGCCTAAGCTCTGATTTTGTTCTAAATATAGTGATTACGCTATAGCAATACAATTATCATAGAATACCGGTACCGGATGGTCATTGAAGAATAAAATAAAATTTGATATGATGGGTGTAAAGCTAATTTTTTTCGTTTGTTTTTTCATTTTATTACCTTTACAATCAAATAGGAGGTATACCTACGTCCTACTTATATAAAATAATTTGTTTATGAGTGTAAAGGGATTTGTTTAAGATTTAATATATTTAAAATTTGAACAACACATTATATGAATAAAAATCATAGACGTTAAATATTAAAATATACTTTCAGCCAAATTATTGAAAAGATTCATTATATTTGTAGGTAACGTAATTATATTATAATTAATATCATATTAAACGCATCGTTTAATCATTATGCTCATTAGTAATATAATACCTTTACTGAATGATATCCGGTATAAATGTATAATTAATCTAATATTACTAATTATATTATTAAGACAACTTCATAGTTAATATTATAGAATATAGAATAACATAATATTCTAACTATTTTGTCATTGTGATAACCTGAAATATACACATATTATTCGCCTCTAATTTAGTAAAATCGATGTTTTCATATTTATCGTGAAAATGCAATTTTCTTCGCGTGTGTAATATTATGTCGATAATCATTTTTTTCAATTCGTATAACTGATAGATTCTATGTTCGCTTTTGTACACGGCAGTGCAAAGTGTCAAGAATTCGTATAATATGCAAAACATACATTTTCTTACGATATTATGTGGACCTGAAATGGAGTACATATTATAGACTACATTAACCCTATATCGGGTCCCCCCAATTTTCAATATAACTATTTTTTTTTTGAAAAATTTTAATTATCCAAAGCGTTTTGACAAAAAATGAATACATTATTGATATTTATGAAATTCTTAATAATATATAATATTGTTGGATACGCATTGTCCAACGTTATCAGATATTGGCCTCACATTGTACATAAATAATACTAAAATATGGTAATTATATTATAAAGATAACATTATAATATATTATTATTATGATGTGTGTGATGTTTCTTTGATTTATTCCATAATTGTATACGATCTATTAAAAGTAAAAAGTATTGATATAATTATTTGATTAGGTGCATTAAATAATAGATATTATATATACTCCGTCGACTATAATCAGAAAATAATCTTTTCGCAGAAGGGTTCCCGTATTATTCACGTCCAGGGATCGTGCTGGATGATCCGGAATTCAAACCGCACATCGGAGGCCAAAGGCGTCCCATCCAAGTCCAGGTGCCCAGCAAAGGTGACGTGTTCGACATAATGGTGTCCGCCATACAAGGGCCGGGCGACAAGCCAGCACTGCTCAGTCGTAAGTGCACATTCGTATAATGTTATTGTAATGACACCGTATTATACAACCAGACGACCTAATTGCCAGAGCTGTGAGGTTGATGCACTGCAGTCTATAATGCCGGATTGTATATAATCAATCAATACAAATTTTATGAATAAACAGTGAGCTCTAAAATGATCCCCTTTAAACGTGATTTAGTCGCCTATGATTGGTCCATTCTATTTTAATGAACGATGAACCATTGGATTTTTTATGCATCCCGACGTAAAAGTTACGAAAATCGTTCAAAGTTTAGAAATTTGTACTTGGACTAATACTGCAATGTTAAATAGATGTTGATCGAACTCGATTATTTCTACAAAGTGTTCGCTCGAGATTTACAAAATAGAGATTCTAAAATATTCGAGATAGTCACTGTTTTCGATCAACGCTATAGTATATAGTATATAGTTCTGTGCAGGCCGCATGTTGGGATTTATTTGATTTTAATTTTTTTTCGACCATTAATTAGTTGACGGCTCAGTCATCTCTTGCAATCAATTTCGTACATTTGATCAGATATTATAATATCATAATATTATTATCATTATTATTTATGTCGACATGCTTCTCGGATTTTTTTTTAGCCGACGAAATATCTCCTTCCGGCGTAGGAAAAGGAGAAGTGTCCGTGATAACTTCGGCAGAACCGAACCAGCAGTTCGTGTCCATCGACGGTAAACGAACGTACATCAACTTGTTCGGCTCAGCGGAACCAACCGCGGTGGCGCCTCAGTCCATAAAGCCGACCAGCGCTGCTTCCGGGTGAGTGTAATTTCTATATTAGTCATAAGTCTAAAGACCGGATTTATATGCATTTTGAATTGTAAAATATGCATGCAAACATGCACTAAAAAGAGTCAAAATAGGTAAGAAGAAAATATAAATACAAGATTAAATTTCTATTTTGCAGTGTTAATTATTTATTAATTTTATTAAAATTCTTATAAACAAAAAGTAAAATGTATAATATTATGCTTATATATAATTCTACTGTACGTGTGTTGTGACTGAACTCCTCCTAAACGGTGGGACAGATTTGAATGAATATTTTTGTATGCGTTTGGGTGACGCCCCGGATAACTTAGATTCACAAATCATCCCCCTAGGTCCAACCAGGGTATGTGCTCAAAAGGGGATTTAGAGATTTACTGTGGACATTTTTGTTTATAAATGGTCGCCATGGGTTTTAAAGCTATTATAATAATAATTATTGGTTGCTGTGAACTCAGTGTATTGCATTCAATGCATTTGATTTTTTTGTACTCTGTGTTTTGATATATTGTATGCTTCGCAATTACGTAAATATTGAGCGTATTATACTCACATATAAAGTACGTACATAAAACAATGCCACGTCTTCGTTGATGAGGAGGAAATATTGGTCGATAGACTCGGTATTCACAATTAGTCCAGCCGTTTAGGAGTAGTTCAGTGACATACTTGGTATAACTTTGATACTTTAGAGTTAAATTATAAAGTTATGTACAAACAGCACGGGGTCCGCAATCTACCGCAAGGTAGATTGCCTACCTGACAATATACTGTTGTGAAACACAATTTTTATCCCTGGCAACAGAAGAGTTAAGATAAATTTTGAACACCATACACCGAATATTAAATAACGAATTGAACAAAGTTTGGGTCATATAGGGTTGGTACATTTAACGGGAAACGAAGTGTACGGGATCAGCTAGTTTATATACAGGCATATTATAGCACAGATATTGAGATATGCAGTACAAAAATATAATTTGTTAAATTTAATTTATAAGAGTTAAAAGATTGCAAACCAAGTAAATAACATTTTAGGAAGTTTAATTCTTTGAATCGTAAAATATTTGATATATAAACGTACCTATCTACTTATATCTACTTATTCTTACTTACTCTCTCTCTTTTTTTTTTTTTTTTTGTTCAACACCTTTTTGGACCATTAGGTAGGTATATTTGTATGCAAACCGTGCACTAACCTCAGAATATTCAAAAATATGCAGTATAAAATGTTGATATTTAATCAATCAAGTAATGATTTATGGACACTCATTGACTGCATGTATATGATGTTGAAAATTGCAACATTCGTTTCATGCTAAATCCGGTTTTTAATCATAACTCATAAGTTAATTCTTGATAATATAATTATTATTGTTTGTCATTGTTCACCATCATTGAAATCTGCGCTGAATCGCTGCCGCTTCAGAGTACGCACTACAAAATATATTCCATATATAAGACATTTTAAACCAAACTCCTATATATTTTCTCTGTTCTCAAATGTTATTGAATTAAGTAACTAGAAAATAATTAAAAATCATATTTTTCAACTTCTTCAAGTGCATAGTACCTATATTTAAGTTTTTTAGAACGCAAAATCCCGAATCCCGGTGACCTGGTTATTATAAATAATCCGCTGTATACGTATACCTATACCGGCCTCACTGGTAAACAGGCTGTAAAATGAATTGTTCATTAGTCCTAAATTAAACGCGCAAAGCTTATAACGGAATGTGAATTATCTACTAATTAGTAAATTAATAATTACTGTATGAATATCATATAAACAATACAGTTGTTATTATGTATAATGTATATGGACCACACTAAATGAATAGATAACGTGCTATACATCGTTTAGGTATATTAACGCCGCTCGTGTACGAATGTGACGGTTGTTTTTAATTTATTTTCCGGTATAATGATCGTTGGGATACTTTCTCTCGAGACGGTCTGAAAATAATCTCCGAGGTCCTTAAAAAGTATTCCGACCAAAACTTGTAGTCGACCGTGCCAAATATCTCATTGCGTTGGCGCTATAAAATATCATATAATAACATATTACTATTAATATTATTATTATTTATTATTAACGTTTATAATATTATATCGAATAAATAATATAATTGCGTATATAATTATTGTTCATACACGTAAATAGGGCAGAAGAGGGGACTTAGGAGCCCTCCTAACTCCTCGCATGACCTATCCAATTTAGTCCCTATAATTATGTCTTTTGACCGACTCTTATTATTTTATGAATTTAAATTGTTACTAAATAACAATATCCGCTGCTATGTGTTAATATTTAATTTATATTCAATATATTGATATAATATAGGTACCTATATATAATATTATATATATGTATATTGTATATAGGTACACTCAGTGCAGTTATAATTATAGGGCATGGGACTTTATGCACTAAAAAGACAATTTTATATGCACATAGATATGTACTGCACATACATTTAAATATATGATCTAATATACATTAAAAAAAAGTTGAAACTTTTAATTAAGTTAGTATAACTAACAGTCAACAACTCATTATCGGCAAAACATACGACAACAATATCTACTATACTTAAACCAAAGAAATATAATGATAATATCGATAACGTATTACTTTTTAAGTATCAGGTTAGGTAGTATTGGTTCATTGGTATCCAGGTCTTCTGGTAAATTCTGCACATAAATTTGTTCTCCATTGAGAATTTGTTCGATGTACATTAACATTTAGTATTTACCCACATTTTTATTCAATACCTTTTCCAAATTTAAATAAACGTTTTTTTTTTCACATTATGTTCCTACCAGTTGGATGGTATTTCAATTAGATACTAATTAGGTACAAATGTACTATAATAATTTTAGTATTTGAAATATTTTAATGTTTGTGGTCGCGTTTTTGGTTTCAGATCGTATTCGGTCAGCCAAGTGCTGCAGCCGCACGGCGCGTCCAGTCCACCGGGACCACCGCCACCGTCGCCGTCAAGCGGAGGCAAACCGTCGTCGCCGGCCTGGAAACGGCCCACTCACCCGCCAGTGAGAATCGACACTTGCATTGTGGGCGACGATACGACGTGCGATGCTGCGCAGCATGAAAGGTGCCGCACCGAGCTTGGCGTGTCCTCGTGCCTCTGCAGGCCCGGGTACAGCAGACGAAAGCACCGGGACCCGTGTCACAGTGAGTATTTAATGTTTTACTTATATTATGCCTATTAAGTTATTATCTAAGTAGGTACGTTCAAATTTTTTTTCATACAAATCATTGACGTAACGTATGCCGTAATATTATGTTATATTGATATCCGTCCCTGCTGGGAAATGAATTCAGACCACGACATTTTCGATTTATAAACACTATACGAAGTCCAGAAGGTTTGACAATATTGCTCTATGAATTGTGGCAGAGATTTTGGAACAACTGTATTTTGATAAGTGCCTAAAAACGTATATTATATCTATTACATACATACATACATACATACATACATATATATATATATATATATATATATATATATATATTGGTTTTAAACGAGATTATCCTTTTTCAAGCATCATGTCCCGTTTGTCCCGACGTCTTAGAACATATTATCATTTATCACGTTTGAATCCCTTTATTTCCATAAAATATTTGTGTAAAGAAAAGACTTGTGCTCAAACCAATAAAAACAATATTTTTACATTTTTGTAATACTGTCAGTAATTAACACGATTTATGGGGGCCGGAGAAGAAGCAATGTGAGCAACAGTTCCTTCTCCGGCTCTCGATTAAACCGAAAAAAAAAAAAAAAAAAAGTAATTAACACGATACATGCCATATTGTACAGTGCGTAATAAAATGGTTGAATCCATACCATAACCATTTCTAACAACACACTCCAATAGCACTCGGGCTTTTATTTCCAAAAAAATCTTTAAAATATAGTATTGAACAATTTTGGATTTTATGTTTCGTTTTTATTTTTCATGTAAAATAAAATGGTCATCGTATGTTAGTGTGAAAAGAACCCTTTATACCTAAATAATATGCTTGTTTTAATATTGTCATCATATAGGTATACTACCCGTGTGTGCTTTTATAATTATTAATTCAACGATTTTTTTCAGGGATCGTATCCATCGTTTTTTCATTACGCGTTGATCGGTTGTATGACAACAAGATCACGTGGACGGACAAGTACAAGGATTCCGAGACCCAAGAATATCAACAACTTGAACACGAAGCAGTTAGAGCGGTAAGGGTGCAGCAGATACCTATCGTGACTCGTGGCAGTGGCTTATTTAGGTTTTTCAGATGGGGCGGGGTTTATCGGATTTCCGGTAGCCCCGCTTGTAAAGTTAGTGGTCTTAAGTTAGTACTTCGAAAAATGTTCCATATTATATACTATACACTTTATACAACCTATTAGCGATTGATCCCCTTGATCGCCCCCTTAAATAAGCCACTGCCTCGTGGCTATATTATAATACATATATCGCATCTGATAGTGCCTGTCTAACAACATAAATCCATACCTAACGTTTTTCTCGCAGATCGATTCGGCGTTTTCAATGACACCGTTTTCCGACACGTTCGTCGGCGTCAAGATCAACAACGTTTACATGTCCAAAACGACGCCCGGCATGCCGGTCATGGTTAACGCCACGGTGCAGCTGACGGAGAACGCGGAACACTTGCGGTCATCCGTCAAGCAGGACGTGCAAAAGCAGCTGACGGGCGCTCTGCAAAGGCGTAACAACAACGTGGGCACCAGCGCCCTGTGGGTGGATTCGCCGGCCGGAGCTATATCGCAACTTCATGGTACAATTTCCCCGCATTACTTACTATATTATTTACACATACTTACTTGAGCTTACATCGCGTACTCTTTAGGCATTATATAATATATTGTAATCGTATATACTAATGTAGAGGGGAGTTGCGGACAAAGTAGGACTTTACACATTTTTACCGGTCGAAGTAAGAAAACAAAACCAAAGTGTTCAAAGATAGATGTTTTGTTATGGGAATTTAAAATCAAACAGTTATTTACACAATTCAATGTATTTTTTTATTAAAAAGTATTATTCAATTTTTAAAATCGAAAAATAAATGAAATGATATTAGCAAGTATTCTTACGTCTTAGAAGAATTCATTAAGAATTCATACACTTGTACGCTTCAGCTAGTATATTACTGTAATCTTTTCATTCAAAAAGTATAGTCCGTCGTACCTATAAGTGGGTTATAACAATATTATAAAAGATTATTTAATAATTCGTTATAAATATTATTATTTTATTTTTCCAAAAATGTCAAGTATATTATAAACAATTAACACCATTCAGGCTTACTTGTCCAGATTGTTGTTTGGACGAGTAAAATAAATCACGATTATCTAAAAAAAAAAAATGAACTTATATTTCAAAATATCGAAGCTCCAGCAAAAATGTACCTATACTTATATCACAAAAATGTTTATTTTTAACCTGTATAATTTTGGATTCAAGCATTATAATGTATTCTATCCGTGCACAGATCTCGACGAGTGCAGCGGTCCGGAACTGAACGACTGTCATCCACTGGGCAAGTGCACGAACGTGTTCGGCACGTTCCAGTGCGCATGCCCGGACGGTTACAGGGACCCGTGGATCGGAAACGCTCAGCGCAGCGGCCGGACTTGCGAGACGTGTGACCCTGGCCAGTGCAATCTCCGGGGCGAATGCTTCTTCCAGGCTGGACAGCCTGTGTGCAAGTGAGTACCATTATTACTATACCTATACGTATAAGTGTATAACATGTCAAAATCATATATGAACGCCTTCCTGGCAAAGATTTTCGGATTTTTCGTGTTTTGCCACGCGATTGTGTTTTATCGAATAATATTACTAAAAAGTATTAGGTATTTAGGTATAGCATTATAAGATCAAACACTGTCTGAGCCCTCAGAAATTCTTACACAGTCCCAGAAATGTAAAAAATATGCAGCGCTGTTAGTGCCCGCATTTACAATATAATAATACAAAATATGTACAATATGAATGCGATCGCCGTCTACACAACAATATATATGAAGGGCACATATTGACATATTGTACTCGTATGGTTGTACGCATTTTGTACGCTTGGAGCGGCGTCATATATATACGGGATGACTATTTTATCATTGGAAACTAATTATTTCAAAAAAATATAAAAGTTTTTAAAAAATTTTGTTTTTTAGCGACTATATATAGTTACCATGTAAATTTTTTTTCAAAAACATTTACCTATACTTTTTGAAATATTGAGTGTTTAATATCAAAGTATCCGGTATATGATTATAGGTAATACGCACCACTCGTAAATCGGAACTAAGCTACCGTTTTACGCGGTTTTAGTTCATAATTTATAATAGGTAGGTAGGTACCCAACGATAAGGCGGAGGACACAGGTTACCGGAAAATCGTCGTCACGACAATTTATAAAGACTTGTGGCGGCCGTGGTATAGGACGGGAAAAAAATTTCTAGGTCAGTGTGCACTAGTCATCGTTATAATCGGTCGTGGTCGATGATGTATGATATACACATATGCATATATCTACATATATTATATTATGTTTCCCTTTCTGTTCACATGCAAACCGCACGCCGACGTCAATTATATAGACGCCCACGAAAACCCATAGATATAATATTATCTTTACGACAGCCGGTCAGTTGCGCAGGCACAACGTGTGTGTGTGTGTGAGTGAGGTTAACGGTACATTAGATGTATTACAATGTCGTATTAAATTTTCAAAAAATGTATATTTTTTTTGGCTACTTATACTTAATATATTGTATTTCACTGCAAACTAATATTGAGTAGGTAAACTATATACCAATATAAACTTATGTCTTATACTATAATACGTCTATAGAATGGCTATATATTATCATTTAAATATTATTAATCGGTTGCAGAAAATTCGCTGTTTTGGTATTGTTTTCACTGAGCTCTGTGTCAATTTTTAGATCGATTTTTTCATAACTTAACACTGAATTCAATACCATTTGTTCGATAATAATATCGACGACAATCCACCGAACAGAGACTCGAGTGGCGTACAGGACGAAATGCTATTGTGTATAATACAGTACGTTGTACGTTAATAAATTGCGGACAGTTTAAAATACGATTTGTTCAAAATCTCATTTCTAATATACTGCCGTATATCTATCCAGATGGATTGATAGAATATAGAAATGAATTGAATTGTATATTATGTAGAAGTAGTTCTATTGTTTAATTTAATTCCATTTATATATTATATTATAGACAGTAGTATAGTACTCAATTTCAATAGTAGGCATTCTTGTCCATGTAACCATTAAAATATCTTAACAATAACCACAGTTTAACAAACATAATATAATATACGAGTGCCAACAACATGTTCATAAAATGTGTAGACATTTGTTTCAATAATGTACCAACATTACGTTTTTATCAAAAAAAAAATATATTAATTTGTAACCGAAGGCTGGATAAATTAAAAAATAAGTTAATACGGATATAAAATATTGCAACTATTATTATATTTACTCATATAAGTATACCTAGTATAATATATTTTGAAATAAACATCATATATCGCTTTTAACTAGAATACATTTTATGTATAATTAATGATAACCCTACAAATAATATAACGTGAATAAACTAATATAAAATATCTAGCTAAATAAAATTAGGTCAATGAAATCGGTTAAATATGAAATATTATATTTCAAATCCCATATACCGTGTAGTATATTAAATATACCTAGTCGACTCTCAGTAAATCAAACTTCAAGAGGAAAAATTTCGTGTTATTAAAAATGACGAGATATAAAAAACCAAAGTGTTATGGCGTTCAAAAGATAATTTTTGTATTGGAGTCATCGAGAATTTCGTTACCGTAGGTAGACTTGCTCAGTTAATCACGTTTTTTGTTTATAGGTACTTAAACTCAAAGGTGAGCAATAACTAGTTATGAAACAACTTATGAACTTAACTAGTTTGATTGACAGTTTAAATAACTTAGTTTTTCTTGTTTGATTTAAAAATAACCCGTAAAGTTAAATTTTTTTTTAAATTTTCGTTTTTATGGTTTTATACGTAAATATCAATACTAAAAAAAAAATAATCTAAAAATTTCTGTTATTTTTCTTGATACAATAATTTTGAATATGGATATATTTTAGTAAGTTAGATAGGCATGATATTATTATATGACCTTATAAATTGCTAATTGACATGAACAATTGATATTTTTAATATTTTTAATTGAGATGTGTAGGAATAGTTTAAATATTTAACCATCATGTAAAGTAAAATAGGTACATACATTGTACATTATATGATAAAAGTTAAATACAATTGTTAATTATAATTTAGGTAATATTAGAAAGAGCGCAGTCACTCCTTATGTGATCTACATATTAATTAAAAAAGTAGATTAACTTTTTAAGTTAATATTTTTTCCATATTAACTTTTAACTTATCAAGTTACATATTTTATGATTTATCAATCATGTGTTCTCATAACTTAACTACTACTTGAGTTAATTATTAACTTGCCCACCTTTAAGGGTAAATTATATTATATTCCACCGTAAACAATAACGCAGTCGTTTACTAAAAAAAAATTACGTAAACACTGCGATGAATACATTGCGCCGTCAACCAGAAGCGAATGCAATGGTGATGACATTTTTTTATCTATATAATATTTTCCTTCCGTCGCAGGTGTTCAGGATCGTTTTACGGGTCGCAGTGCGAGATCGACGGCGAAGTTCTGAGCGTGGCGGTCGGCTCGTCCGTGGCCGCCATATCCATCATCGTGCTGACGCTTGTGTGCCTGTGCGCGTGGAGCCGCCGCTGGAACAAGGAACAGAAAGTCGGCTCACCCGTGTTCGGGTACATGCCGACGGGCGGCAGCACTGTGAAAACGCCCGTGATCGGTGGCCCACCGTACCAGGTGTCCATCGAGGACCGCATGAGGTGGGCCCAGATCGCCGACGCCATGGCGCACGCCAACCATTACGTCGTGAGTATAATTTATTTGTTGGTAATTGCCAATATTGGTGTTCGTTTATCATAAAATATAATTATTACTAACGAGTAACCGCTTAATTTTCAATTTTTATCAAAATTATGAATTATATTATATTATGATAATATAATGTATAAAATAAAAATAAATATTGTTAAAAAACAAAATGAATATTTTATAGTTAAAAATGCCTAAAAATTCAAAAATATTCTAATGAAAATATAATGTAATTTCATACACTCTTAACAATTAATACAGATTTATGATTTGACCTGTAATGTGCACAACTAAATTAAAAGTTATAATTAGCCATGATTCATTACTCAAATTGTGCATTCTACCCCTTATCCTAACCCACACCTTATTGAAATAATACAATCGTCCTATTTTTAGACAACGAGAATGATTGTAATAAAATTTACTCTAACAAAAACTATAACCATTCAATATCCAATATACCTATAACAGCACTATTTTTAATGACCTATATAATCTATGTAATATATTTCGTTAGGATTAAAAACATTTTGTTGGGTATAGCCTATAATAAAACAAAAAAAATATTCCAGTTGTAATGACGTATCGTACTATCATCGGTAATAGAAACCGGATATTATTATAAATTATAATCGTACGGGCGATTGTTTCGAAGGATAAATCGTTTATCGGTCGTCTGTCTTATGATGAGCATAGAGACGTGAATATTGCAACTATACTACGTTACTTATCCTCTTTCTACATAACATGATAATAATTCTCATGCCCGTATATAATCCGTCGATTGGTTTTCAGCCCGAACCGGTAAACGGCACCATGAGGTCGAACATGTTCGGGTACGCAGGCGCACCGATGCCTCTGCCCAGGCTCCGGCCCCCGGGCACGAGCACGATTTCGCACGCATTCCGCACGCCGGAGTCGAGCACCAGCGAAGAAGAGGACCGGACCGACCTGCTGGGCCGGAGCTTCCATACTTCCTCCAGACCAAAAAGCAGATCTTCCTTGGCCGTGAGTACCTACTGCACTTTGCAGTTTGTTATAATAACTTATAAATTATATAAATATAGTATAATACTCACGACACGTGTAAACGAGACCTCCCGTAACGGACACCTCCGAATAAAGGTCAACATTTCGGCGACCGAGAGTGTCCGGTATATTTAGAAGTTTCACTGTATAATACGATAACGACGTATTCGTGATCATCCGCTGCACAGAGTATTTTAATCTGTTGATGGGATGAGGGATTGAAGAGTTTTTCCATAAAAAAACCTTGGGGAACAGATTTATAAAATACCCTCCTCTTAAATGATGCCCTGTTACAGTATTAAAAAAGTAATTCGTGACTATTAGATTACCCACCGAAAAGATGACGGACGGAATTATAGCATACGTCATATCCGTTTTTAGACAGGGCCACCGAACCGTGAGCTGAAATTTGAAGCGTTTCAAGAAGATTTTTGAACATTTTAACATGTTTAGAAAATAATAATAAGAGTATTAAAATAAAAGAACTCATGACAATATAATCTGTAGGAAAACCCAGTTTTGTTTACTTAAAATCTAACCAAAAACAACGAATTATAAAGTCTTATTTTTTAAAAAATGTAAATTAAATTTCAAACATTTCTGCAATTTATTTTTTTTAGATAATTTTGTCGGGATAAAACAACAATAATGATATTATAATACACGTTTCCCCAATTATTTCCCCAATTGATGAAATAAAATAAATAAATAAATAAAGTTTTAGGAGACTTAGTCCACCCTCCCCAAATCTCTGTTACAGATCTTAAAACCCTTCCGGATTAAAAAAGGTCTACATATTATATACTCGTACTTAAATGGTAAAAAAAATACCAAGTGAAAAAATTCCGATTAAATAAGAACAAAAAGTCTAAAAAAAAGTTAACCATTCATTAATAGTATCATACGGTAAAATTAAGTAGATTAAAACCGAATAATACATTACTATTGGTAAGAACTTTCACGAGTTCCGATTTCTTTTCCACCTATATAATACGTATATGAGTATTTCGGATCATATTATATTTGGCAAGACACAGCTGATGACATGCTCATAGTCATTCTATACAATCTGAAATCTTTTTTCTCCGGATTTTACTTTTATCCAAAGTCATATGTGACGGTCGTCTCGAGTCATCCTTTATCGTATTACATCGTTATACTCATTAATTATTATATTATTATTCTTTTATTGTCCTTAACACACAGAATCAGAGCGGAATTTACTACGACGTGGATTACGAACAACAGCAGGGCGAAATGACGTTCTCGCCCGGTTGCATTCCGCTGAGCACGTACACCATTGGCAGCCGCTCAAACTACTACAGATGATGATGACGATGATGACGACGATGACGACGACGACGACGAAAATCTCACGATACAGTTGTGTATAGCTGATGACGATCATCGCCAGTGTACTATATAATATTATATATTATTATTATTATCATCGTTTAAATACTTTAAGCGACACAGACTGAGGACACAAAACGCGTTTACGCGTAACCCAATAAAATAATAATAATATACCTATATACACTGTTATTGATGTACACCCTACATAATATTATATTTATATATATGCCATTGATGAAAAAAAAAAAAACCTAATCGTGTAATAATAATTAAGTATATAAATGTATAATATTATTATATTATGTTAAATATTTATACACGGACTAGTAAATGCAAATAAGTGTCCGAGCCGTATATAATATTTTAATGAAATATAAAATTATGTCTTTGTAATAAATACGACAGTATAATATAGTACCTATATAGTAATAATTAATTGTAAAGCAATACTATATTTTGGACTTGTCGCTTTTGGCGTGACGTCACTGACCGGTTGACTTGGTGATATCACCCCGAGAGCGGCCGAAGACGTTGTCATTTTAATATTATTATGTTTACCTTCAAACCGATATCAACGATAAATAATAATATGTAATATTTGTGTGTGCGTAAAATGTATATCATGTGTAACGCAGATAGGTAGATAATATAGTATTTCTGTATATAAGATTATTAATGTGTGTATATGAAATAATAAACGCGGAAAAGTGTCGGACATATCTATAAAACTATACAATATATATATATATATAAACACTTTCAATCTATTTAATATAATATTATCATATATCATATATTATATATACCTAGGTATACGGTTATGTACTTGTATAATATTTGAGTTTAATCGCGATGATATTCTTCGCGTCAACGTAGTAATATTATACCTATATAGTATCGTCCGTCTCAATATATTATATTAAAGCATTAACGTTTATCAATAGACTTGTGCCATACAAACGTTTGCGCACATTCGAAATGACAACATTATATGATATTCTATTATAATATTGTATACAATTCTTCTATATTTTATTAGGTGTAGGTACCAGATACCTACCTATGTGAATACGATTAACGATTATTGTACTGAAAATTTCGACTTTTGGATTTCCTTCTCTTAATTTTTTTTATTTTCACCGCACACAATCCAGCATATACTATACCTATAAATAAGACCGAGGGTTAAATATTTTCAACATTCTTTATACACGTGTACAAACTATATTATTTAATATAATTTTTTTTTATTATTATTATTGTTTAAGGCTCTAAATATCAACTTGAATCATATGAATTGTATTATTACCTTATAATAATTGTATAGGTAATTATAGTTATTTATATACTGGAAGATTATAATATAACTATTATAAATTGTATGCGTGTTACTTAGTTTAATAAAAATATATATTTGTATATTCTATCATGTTTAAAAAACACGGTTTATTCATAAAAATGCGAACGATGAGTGTTGACTAAGGGCGAGAGGGAGGCTAAATGGCCCATAAACCTCCCGGACTATACAATGAATAATGATGAAATACTAAGATATTAATATATTATGTTTACTCATTCAATGGGTTATCCCTAACTATTTGTCATTATTGTCATAAGAGTTGAATAAAAATGAAGTCTGTGTCAACCACAAGACACTCACCCTACAACAGAACCACTATATGTATAATCAATTAAAAATCTTTTATGTATTATGTGCCATTATATATATTATTATATTATATATTGTTGGAGTGCATAGATTCTAAACATAAAGATTAGTGGCGTCTATCCTCAAATAAATATGTACAGCTGAATGCTAAGAAAAATCCTGGACCCACCCACCTAAAAATATTTATTAGCAAATACAAATTACCAATATTCAATCAATGGGTCACATAGACATAGTTCTGTTAATTTTGAAGCGATATCATTGAATACAATTTTAAAAATGAAGGCGCTTATTTTGACGCCTCAAACTGTCAAACTGCTAACATAATGTACAATCTATGGCACAATTCAATAAAATTTACTAATTATGTATTCTATTCGTATTCGGTCCTATATTATACGTACTCGTTTCGTTTGTGGAATCAAAAATCGTACCATTTTTATTATAATATAATAACTTGAGACTTTTCGCCGCGACAAAAAAGCCGTACAGGCTCGTACGGCCCACCGATTTTGGTTGCAGTGCTTAATTTTTTGTTATATTTATGCGTCATTTAGTAGGACTAGTGGTAGTCGAGAACCATTCAACGATACAAGATCGACGCGTCGAAACACTATATTGTTATAATTTATAATACCTATACATTCGAAACGACATCTGTAATATTATTATTCAATGGAAACGCTACCGCCCGAGGTATGTATTAATCATATTATATAAAATACATCAATAGGTATACTATATAGTTAGGGAACTTAATATGCACTTAAAAAGCATACTAATTATGCATGTACTTATGGATTTAAAATAGTACAAATATGCACTTATTTTTTTTTTGTGAACTCATAATTTTCATAAAGGCAAATATTTTACTAAAAACTATTTTTTAAAAATAAAAAAAAACAATTGTAAAAAAAAATAAATTTTATTGGGCGTTTCAGCTTTACAGCTTTGTAGTGAATTAACGATCGAAGATAAAGTTCTGAATATCTTCACTGCACTTCTCCTAGCCAATGTCAATCTAACAAGACCCCAAACAACAAAATCCGTTCTCCAGTTTCGGAAATCTACCTCTCTAATCTACCATTATTTTTTTTTTCGTAGAGTCACGAAATTAATTTCAAGTTTACTTAACTTGTTAAATCTATAACAGCCCAAAAAACTAAATGCAGGTTTTCGTGACTTTTGCAGATAATCACTGAAATCCTGGAATACCTGTCGTTTGACGACCGGCGGCGGATGGCCTTGGTTAACAGGACGTTCCGGGACGCGTCACTGCACCCTGCGCTGTCGCGACGAGAGCTGTTCGTGTACACCGCACCGGTGCAGCGGCTGCGGGTGGACGACCGTCGGCGGCGGTTCCAGGACTTCAAAAAGGCGTTGCGGGAGCCCCGGAGAAAACGGTTGTGCCTGAAATTCCGAGGCACGAACCGCGCGGACATCGGCAGGGCGTTCGGTGACTGCGGCGGTTGGCCGCCGTCCATCGTGTCGCTGCACCTGGACAGCCTATGCTGGGTGAGCGACTTGTTCCTGGACGCGATCACCGGTTGCTGCGTCAGCCTAGAGGAGCTGCGACTCGAGAACATCGGCCGGCTGTGCTTCTCCGACAAGCCCCGGCGGCCTATGTTAGCTTTGCGCAGCGTGCGCTTCGACCGGGTGGCCGTGTCTGACGCTTGTTTCAACGTGCTCATGGCGTGCGCCCCGAACGTGAAGGACGTCGGCATCGACAACTGCCAGACGTACGATTGGCTGGATCCTGCGGAAGCAGCTGTGGCCGGAATTTCCAACGCCGGGCTGTCGGACGCAAACATTGTCGGCTACCTACAGAGCACCGCGGCCGGCACCGTGGACAGCCTGCGGTTGAATCAGTGCTGTCACGTGTTTGGTGAGATACGGCCCCAGGCCCTTCGGCTCAAGTCCCTGCTGTTGAGCCATGACAAACCATACCTGAACACTCGCCGGATGATCGATTACGAAAAACTTGAATCTGCGTTGGCCCTACAGGTGAGCCGCAGGGACCATCGATCACTAAAAATGGCACGCCATCAATAATATTAATATATTTACCATCGATAATCGAGATATTATAACATCCGTCATACAACACCGTCATTTGATATTTTCATCTAGATAATTTTAACTTGATTTTTAAAAACCTCGATATAATTTATGCGTAGTGTGTTTAAAATAGCAACTACCTATTTTTTTAGAGAAATTTTCGAAGTTTTTTTACAACATTTAAATCCAGGCTTTAGTGGTAATATAAAATAAAATATTGAACAATTAGTTAAGATATTTTTAAAAATTCAAATTAAATAATCACCTTTTACCGTCATTCTCTTTACCTATTTAGATATAAAATAATATATATTATACTGTTATGCAACAATTTATGTGAATAATAATAATGATATAATAATAATATACAAATTAAGGAAAACCACATTATTAAATTAGGTTAGGTTAGGTTATGTTTATGTAACAACAATTCCATTAAAATGTAAATAAAAACGTCGGTGCTGGTAATTTATTGAGGAGTAAAATTTAGGCAATTCAATTTACATGTTGTATCGGCCTCCCGCGGAACGTGCATGTGTGTGAGTACTGAGTGTGTAAATCGATATTAGTGTGAGTGCACGCGCATGCACAAGTCAGTGCTAGACTTCGATGACTATTATCGAAGCACTATTTTGATGAATAAAAATGGTTTCATAGGAAAAGCTCTCATGCATGCCTCGCAGATATGTCGGATTTTGGTCAATTTTTTTTTATCTGAAAGGTGAGAAGTGTTTGCAGGTCGGATCAAAGCTAGAATTTTTATTTTATTTTACTTTAAATAGATATTAGTAGAAAAATACGTTTTAAAAAGGACAAATATTGTTCATTTTTCAAATGCATATTCCAGCTTCTATAATTATAATTTTAAATATCGGGCTCTCATTCGACCTACAAAATGTTCTCTACTTTTGGATAAAAAAAAAAAAATTAACGAAATCCGACAATTCTACAGGGCGTGAGAGTTTTTCCTGTAACACATGTTTTTTTACCAAAAAACGCACCGGGCGACCCCCTTAAATGACTTATTTACGTTATAAGTTTTAACTAATTTATTGAGTTATATATATAGTAGGTACTAAACGTATAATTTAAAAACATTTTGATAGAATAACACCTAACTATATTAATCATAAGCTGCACGGTTAAAGTCTTGTTTAATAACAGTTCGTAAGTTCAAAACATTTTATAAAACGCTTTTAAAAATAAAACAAATTATTAACATTTTAAGAATATTTTATTGTATTTTTATGTATAAACGACACATTAAAATCAATCATGCAGGTGTCGCTGCAGTGGTTGGAGATCAATCACCTCCCAGCACGACTGCTCAGGGTCGTGGCCAGGCTACACGATCTCCGGCACTTGACGTTGAACTTGACGATTAGTTACGACGATGTGGAATGTCTGCGGGAGCTCGCGGAATCGTTGCGGAACATGACGCGCATCAGGACGTTGGCCGTAAACCGAGTGGTCGCGACATCGATGCACGCCGGACCCGACGTGGTACTTCAGACGTTCGCGATACCGGAATGCGCATACGAATCGCTAACGTCGTTGGACTGTTCGTTAGACGGCAGCCTGTGCGTGTTGCGCGCCGGCAAACGGTTGTCCAGCTTACGCATACGGAACGGCGACATCCTGTCGGCCGGTGGATTGCAACTGTTGTTCGAAAACCTCATCGGTTTGAGGCATCTGTGGATCGACAACTGCTTCTGTCTTGACGACGACATTATGTCCGGCTTGCCTGTGTCCAACCTCAGAGGTAAACCTATACAACTATTATACTATTATACTTCTGAGCATAGGTTGGATTGAGCAAAGGCACTATACGTACACCGTACGGTCACATCCATTGACATAATATAAATGGACTGCGCTTGATGTGTTAATTGTGGAGTCATTATTTGCCCTGATCTGGTAGTCAAAATCAATGGAAAAAAAAATATAATTTTTCATATTTCCATGACAATATTTCTTATTATCATTGTTTCGAATATATTAAGATAATATTCACATTATCATCTGTGGTAAATATGATTGAAATTTGACAGTAGTTGTAGGGTGAGCCTAATAATTGACTGAACTGAATGACTGAATGGACTGAATGGACAAGTTCAACAGCGGTACCAACGATAAAATTCATGTCCCATCCAATCCCATATAATTTCTCATCAAGGGTCCGAGTTCTTATCATGGAACTGAACTGTCCTCATAACCAACTGGTTGGTAACTACCATGGTCGTAACCACGAATTAAAGATAGTACTGCACTACTGCATATTATGTTGCCGATGTATTTCTTAAAAGGGTTAGTTAATCTAAAACCGACGACAAACTTCATGTTTCCACCGTGTCAAGATAAGTAGCACTTTTCGGTTACTGAGTTACTCTGATACGGTTTAAAATATGTTTATAATATTCATATTTCATACTATATATTTATACTAAACGGGCTGCATCACTGCGATATGTATAAAACCATGGAAATAAATACCTACCGCAAAATATAATAAAATAGATTAACCTGTAGGTATCTGGTATATCAATTTATAAAAAAATAACCTTAAATAACGTACTATTTTGAATGACAGAGTAAACTTATTAGACAATACTACAATAGATACATATTAAGTAGGTACATACATAGGTATTACATTAAGTGGTTACATACCTACTTAAATAATTAGATGGGAGGGGAGCTAACGGGGGCTTAGCCCCACTAAAGTCCGTCAAGTCCCCTCCTTTTTTAGTTGTGTGGCATCGAAGCCCCCCCCAACTCACATGTATGTTAATAATATTAGCCCCCCTACAATTTTAATGGATTTCCACCTATCAGTAGGTTTGATGTTAGTCCCCCAAGCTAGAGGGTATCCACACTGGTGGGCCTCCCTCCTCAAGCCATTCATGTTGTTGTTATTTCTTTCATTACCAAATTTACTCATTGTATATATAAAATTACAGATTGTAAATATTCTATTTTATCTAATAAAAAAAAAAAAAAAAAGGATGTTAGTAATAATATTGTGATTTGTGTTTTGTTTGCAGTAGTAGGTTACCTACATAAATATAATTTTAAATATTTTACATGTACTACATATTTACTTTACAAATGATGAATTAAAAAGAAAATGTATAAAGAAGTATTTAATTACTATTATAGATACATCAGTAGATACTCGGTACCTGTCATATATTAAGAGGACGCCACACGGGCAAACGAAACCATGCAATGACCAAGAGAATGCGCTGTTAGGTGTTTTCGTGATCCGCAAGCACGCGACGTTTAAGCCGCGCCCACTACTCACAGCCGCGTACCGACCGACGCGTTGTCGAGTTCGGGAGCGTTGTTTATTATCTTATGAACGTTCGTCCGTGACATATCCCGTCGAAATAAAATTCATACACGTAAATGCATTGCCGCCATATTCGCTCTTATACCTACACTAACCATCTTTTAATTAAAGCCGCTGTCAGCCCAATTGTATACCTATTTGTATATAACAATATTATGTTGGCTAGAAAATCTAGTTTTTACCGTACAAATTGTTGTACAAACATTTTAAGTATTCGAGTTAACAATATTTTACGTACAATAACTTACGATTTACATTTAGTTTGTAAAAATATCAATATAGACATACCAATTATGTATTTAATTTTTATCTTACTAATATTTTCGTATGTATTACCATAATACCGTTGATTATAATAAATATTATTATTTTTATTATTCAATGACAATAATATAACATTGACGCTAAACCAGCGAAAATACCGTACAAAAACATTCCAATTTTGTTCCAATAATACGGCTAAGTAAATGGTTTTAGAGCAAAATACCTCAATTAAAAGTTGTAGAGGAGTTATATCTGGTGACGTATAAGACTCGATTTTTGATATTTTAATTTTTTTATACCAATTATTCATAAGTAAAAAAGTGAAAATAACTGAAAACGATTTTATCGATTTTGAGAATGAAATATTGAAAATCGATTCTTATACGTCACCCTGTATAACATTTCTTCTTACATTTTAATCAGCCATAAATAAACTACTTGAATTTGATTTACACTTACTGAGTTGCAATCTAAGAAAGTAAAAAATAAAAAACCATTCAACTTGTCTAAATTATATTCAAATATTTTATTAATTTTTTTTTATAATCATTTTTTTTTTATGTGATCTGGTTCTCGAATATCTGATTTCAGCATTCTTTTAGGGAATTGTGGATCAATAATTTCGGGTAATAAAGACTTCATATAAAACCTTAAAGTATAAAATATAATATGTTGATAAAATAGATAAAATATAATATAAATATATTATAGGTAAAATAGATAAATCATGATTCACTAGTAATCGTGACTCGTGTATTCGTGTGAAAGATTATCTAATTACTCAGAGTGTACAAATTATTAAAAAAAAAAAGGACTCACGTTTGTAGCGGTTCAGACATTTTAGAATCCCAAAAGTATTCGACCAGTACGGTGGGATTTTTAGATTCTGAGTGGAACGATGAATGTATTGATTTTACAATGATGTGTGTTTTTATATTTTTTTATTTTTTTATTTTTGTGTCTGTGTACACGATAAGTAGTCGAAATAATGCTTCGATTTTCGACTTCAGTATCTTGTTCGATTGGAAAGTGAATATCGTTGGTGCATTGGGGAGGTCAAAATTTAAAATTCCCAGTAATTTTCAAAAGCTACAAGAAAAACAAAAGAAAAATTAATGAAAAACTGGAATTTTTACGCAAAATCGATTTTTCAGAAAATTGAATTTGGTTTTTGGTGTAACTTTAAAACAAATGACCGTAGATACATGAAATTTTCACTGGTTGTTTATATTTGCATTTTCTATACACAATAACATTTTCAAAATATTTTGATTTATTTTGAACTGTTTAGGGACATTTTTATTTTTCATTTTTTTTTAGTTTTTTTTTCTAGAAATATCAATACAATTTTATTTGTTGGTTAAAAAAACTTGAAAATTTAATAGAAGGCTCCAAGTATATTGTTTCAAAGGCAGATGAAAAATATTAAAAATCCTTAGTCACAGTTTTTTTTATAAGCATTTAAAGTACAAAATTAACAAAAAATGGAAAAATCACGAAAATTAGCAAATTATTTTGAGTTAAGAATTCGTAAAAATTTTTCTTTTTAAACCTAAGATTTGAAAATGTAATACAAGATTCCTTATAAGGTTATCTACCTTTATCAAAAAAAAAATGTCTATAAGAAAGTCAAATTAAATTTTTATGAGCGTTTGAAATTCAAATTTTTACAACATTGTATATTCACTCGATTTCTCATGTAGCGATTTCCTTATTTTGTTGTAATTCAAAAACGAATAACTATAGATACATGATAATTTTACTGAATGTTCAGATTAGCATTTCCTATACACTGTACAATTTTGAAAATATTTCGACTCTTTTTGAGCTGTTTTCAATTTTTTTAGTTTTTTTTCTATAAATATCAATTAAGTTTTATCTGTTGGGCCAAAAAGTGTAAAAATTTAATGCAAGGCTCCTGATATATTGTTACAGTAGCAATTGAAAAATATTAAAAATACATAGGCACAATTTTTTTTTATAAGCATTTAAAGATCGAATTTTGATTTGAATTGACAGATTTATTTTTTCATTAAAATTTCCTCTTTGCCTTATAGAAAATTTCAACGTTTATTACATATTACCGATTTACATTCCAATAAATGAACATGGTCAATTTCTCCATATGACTAAAAATTCTATGTATTTGTTAATGGACAAAATAATGACCAAATATTTTATTTGGCCAGATTTAAATAACTGTAAAGTACCTAGTGGATAAAATATTTGTTTGTGGATTTAATGAAATTATACATAATTGTGACACGGACCCCACATGTGTAACAGAATTACTAAAAAATTCTGTAACTAAACCACCTCAATGTTATACTTATATCTCTGAATTCAAAACAGAAATGTGGTATCCCTGATTTTTCAAAAATCATTGGTTTTTTGCATGTGAAAAACCCACTACAATTACTATAATTTGTAATAAACAGTCTTTCACTCAAAAAATTAAAATTAAAAGTTCTGGAAAGTTATACTTGAAGTCTGGGTGTATTGCTGCTTACACCTCGAAAAGTGTACTAAAAACTGAACAAGTATTAAATCAAACATCATATTTCTTAGTTCCAGTAGACTTATCTCTTACGAATGATTCATGCTGTAATGTATTCAATTTTTCAAATCAGGCCTATCCCAAACCGATTCACTTCGATGAAATAAAATATATACAATTTAATAAAAAAAGCGTTCAATAAAATAAATAAACAATTAGACCAACAAGATATGTTACTAAATTCGCTTATTGTAGATAAAACGTATGGATTTATATACACAAACAAATATTTAGTTGTCATAATAATAGTTTTTTTATTATATTTTATAGCAAAATGTTATTTAAATAGGAAAGCAAAAAAATCAGCTATAGAAAACATTAATTTAAGTTATAATCCTTCCAAGTTCTAAAAATTAATTTAGCAAAGGTTCTTAGTACGTATTTATATACCTAATATTATGTATTATTATATTATCTTATTATATATTATTATATAATTGTCCACAACATTTATATTTTTTTTTCGGAAGTCAATAATTAGCAGTGGCGTATTTACGGGGGGGGGGGGGTCCATGGGGTCCGGACCCCCCCCCCCCCCCCATTGACTCGTGTCTCGTACATGTTAAATGTTGTGTAGTTTTTACATGATTAAAAAACAAATTTTATCATACTATTTTACGGATTTTATAAAAAATTTTCGAA